GAGAATGAAGTTAATATTGTTCAGATAGTTGATAATCATTATCAGAGATACATGGAACAAGAAGATGAACATAACAGACATCAAGAAATTTCTGAAAATGAAATAATAATAATTGAAAATTAGTCAGTAAAACCGAATTAATTGATGTAAAATTAAAATAGCTACAATTTTAACTATTTGGTATAACTGAATGGTTTATTGTAATGTACTTGAGCACTTTTATCAACAAGTTGAAGCTAGCTACAGAACTTTTTTCTTTTAGTTTATTACATTTTCTAATACATGCTCCCACGTTGCATAGCAGATTTCAATCAAAATTAAATTTCTTCTAAATTTTTGAATTGCTCAAAAATTTGACTAAAGACCTTGTACTTTTAATAGAATATTTTTGCATGTAGCCTAGTTTAGATCTAGTACACTTATAGCTCAGCCTGAACTGCTCATTCAAATTTGTGGTTGTGCATGCAGGCATTGCTAAACTCTACTATGATCTAGATTTAGATCTATAATGCTGGGGAGTGTTTGTTAGCATGCCTACGAACAAGCATATGGAAACTACAAATAGATCTACCAAAAATAATAAACACTATGTAATGATAATAAATAATACTACAATAATAATAATAATAATAATACAGAAATAACTATCTACTCTTGCTAATACTAAATACTACGCTTAGGTAGTACACATTATCTCTGGATCTACTATGCTATAATATCAATGTTCAGCTAGAAATTGAATTTTAATTTTGCTGACTGGGGCAATAGGTGATCACTGATCAGGGCATTGAGGCAGGTAGAACCACACAGGAAGGGTCTAGCTAGCAAGACTATTGCTATAACTTAAAGGAATCATGACTTTATCACTGCCTATTATGTCTTTTTCTGCTATTATGGTGCTTGTGTGGAATTATCTGATGGTTATTCAACTTTATTTGCTTTTGTCTGACAGTACTGTTGTTGGAATTCTAAGTCTTTTGATACATTTTGGTATCTACATCCTGTATCCTTTCATTGGACTACTAACTGATGTCTACATAGGAAGATACAGAGCAATAACAACTGGTATTATACTCTGCTTCATATCATGGATTGTAACTGGAATTTTATTTATATTAAACACTTTTTATAGATTCATGGGTACAATGTGGATTCTTCCTGGTTATGTAATCTACAATATTGGTTACATTACTTTTGCTGCTAATATCATTCAGTATAATATTGATCAGTTAATTGGAGCATCAGCTAATGAACTAAGTACTATCATATACTGGAATATTGCTGCTTATCCAGTTGCATGGATAATAGGCGATTGGATACTGCTACTTGATTCGGTTACCAAAAATTTAGTTTTTTAATAACAACAGGAGTAGCACTGTCTCTTATACTGGTATCTCATTCATTATTCAAACACAAACTGGAGAATATATCACTGATCAAGAATCCCATCAAACTGATAGTTAGAGTATTGTG